AAAGCAAAGCAGGACTCAGTCTTAAGTTTACTTTCTCCATCAAGGCAGACTCTACTACATGAAAAGGTTGTTGTTGTTGTGGTTTTTAAGTTAAATTGGTCCCTGAGCTGGAAAACAGAGTATTTCTCCTCTTAGAAACTGCAGATTGTCCCTGTTAGGTTGCAAATGAGACCCTTCCAAAGATTAAAGGGCAAAAGAGAGATGCAACCTAGAACTAAAGCAGAAGTTTCCTGATAGTAAGAACAATCAGAGGAATGGCTTGCCTCCAGAAGTTGTGGGACTGCCATTTGTCCAAAATGATATAGGGTTTTCTGCTTGAGCAGGGAACTTCCAACTCTGTTAAACCATAATATCTGAGTTCAACTGTAGTGTTAGGGTAAAGGCACACAAATCACCCTATGGTTAGCCAGTGTTTGACCGTAGCTATTGACTAATGCCAGGAAATGATTATCTCAAAGAAACCAGCCCATATGTTTTCACGATAATCTTGATTTGATGTTGATTAAGTTAAAGAAATAAGGCAAAGTGATAGCATATAGAAAGAGATAATGTGGAGAAGAAAATGACATGTTTCCTGCTCTTTTATAGAGCACATGTTGATATTAGATTTCTAAATGATAATTCCAAGCTGTATTCTTGGACTTTTACTTCCAAAATAATGGTATTTAATGTTGTAAGAGATGGGCAGCAGCAGCAACATCGATGATATCCTCTCCCACCTGTAAATAATTATTTCCAAGATTAAAGTCTAGCATAATCTCTCTGCTAATCAAAAATAGGAAAGATAACAATACTGGATCACTTCTTTGTGTATGAACATACCAACCAAGCCAACTGAGTGACTTTAAAATACAGGTTTAAATAGAATTATATTGTCTTCCATTGATGTGTTATTAGTTCTTGTCTTTTAATGGATGCTTGGGATTTCCTATTCCCTAGCAATTTTTTAAAACTAGATTACAAAGCTTGCTTTAATGAGTAAGAATTTAGAAGCATTTCAGAAGTATGTAAGGTTTCCCAAAGGTAATTAAAATGATTTATTCCTCTTATGGCTTCTGTAATATCTTACTAAGTTTGAGTGAAAACTGGAACACATTGTTCACAAAATATGCACAGTGGCAATATCAGGGATGTGACATGTGTCTGCAAATGCTTGTTTTAGCTTGTTCCAAACTACTGTATATTTGCAATTTCTGAAATAATCAAAACCAGTCAAGCTGTTTAGTATTATAGTTTTGTGTTATAATCAAGGGATGAGATTTGTTAGGAACAAGATGCACTTCTGAAAGTTTTTGTATCGGTGCAAAAGATACAATTTACAACATATAAATTTAAATAAATAAATATAAAGTTTATCTGAGTATTGTTTACTTTAAATCAGGGGTGTCAAACTCACAATGTCACATGACATGTCACGATGTATCGTGACTTTTTTGCCATTGCCGGCAATGGTGTGGTACGTTTTTGTTATGCATCCGGCCCACAGGCTGGCAGTTTGACATCCCTGCATTAAATGGACATTCTCTCCATATTTTCTGACAATGATGCTTGAGCAGTTCTACCTTATGATGTTCAACAAGCCATTTCAGCCTTTGGGAGCTCTTCTGACCATAAGGAGGAAAGTAGAAGTAATTTCTTAGTAAGCTTAGCAGAATTAAACTAGCCAGTGTGTCCTATTTGGCAGACTTTGCAACTTTGTAACTGTTCAACCTGTTTATGCTTTAATCAATCATTATACTTTATAACAGCTGTTTTTAATCTTGAGTGATACACAAGAATTTAATTAACTTTGTTCTGAGAAAAATACAGCATCTCTTTCAATAGTATTCCTTTATTTTTACCAACATAGATGAGTCATAGTTAAAATGGCTACTAGCTCTACATTGATGCTCAACAGAGGGCTTCATATAATTCAACGACATGAAACATTCCTTGAGTGACAGTTTCAAGATGAGTCCAAATTGCTGCTTATTTCAGTGCTGAAATAGAGGAACTTCTGATCATGAAGGAGATTAGTAGCTTTTCAAGCTATTAAGGATCACCCACCAGATTTCTTTTACATAGTCTTGGATTCTTACTGATCTGTATGCTAATACTCAGGAGACTTCAATGGCCTGAAAAAATCCAGCCCTTTCCCCCCCTAAAACTCTCCAAGGCACTGACTTTATTTTTTCTTATGTAATGAAGTAGTAAGGCTGTTGTATGTGAGCCTAAGTTGGTTCACATTGAATGCATTCTTGCTGATATAGCATTATTATACAGGTTTTGTTATATAATGCAATATTAATGACTTAATAGCAATATTGCAAATAAATAATAACAAATGCCATATATAGTATTATTGAAATATACCACAGAGATATAGTTTTACTGAAATTAAACAATGTGCTTAATTGACATTATAACAATACCTACTGGTTAGGGAAGGTAGTAATATACTTATGGGATTATACAAGTAATTGTAGTACGGTATTTATTTTCTGTGTTGTATTAATATAAATGTAGTGATTATTAAGGGTTGACACCAACTTGATAGCACATGGTGAATATAAAAGGAGTTATATAAAAGAAAGAAGCCAGCACATTTAATTAATTTAAACAATTGCATTATTTAAGTGAATAATAAAGTTATGACAATAAGTAACATTAGCAAGTGATATGATACAATAATGAAATTCATAAAGTGATGATATCTAAGGTACTGCCACAAAGAAGAGGAGAGTCAACATCTTCTCCAATACACCTAAAGGCAGGGCAAGAAGCAATGGATGGAAACTAATCAAGGAGAAAAGCAACCTAGAACTAAGGAGAAATTTCCTGACAGTTAGAACAATACACCAGTAAAATGGCTTGCCTTCAGAAGTTGTGGGTGTTCACATTACTGGAGGCTTTTAAAAAGTGATTGGACAGCCACTTGTCTGAAATAGTAGGGTGTCCTGCTTGGGCAGGGGGTTGGACTAGAAGACCTCCAAGGTCCTTTCCAACTCTTTTATTCTGTTATTTACTGTTATTGTACTGGAGAAATGGAAATCATCCTTAGATGAAAAAACAAGAAGCATTATCTGCCAAAAATAGTGTGATGGTCATGAACACATATATGTTAGCAAACGCCTATCTTACTTAGTGTCTACAGCCTCCTGATGCATCTGGGAGCCGGTGTGTTGAAAAGCAAGTACCAGCTTCTAATATAATAAAGATCACTGTGGAATGGTTAACTTAAGACCATCCTGATAGGTTGTGATTGGCCATATTCTTTTACCTGCCATTTTTTAAAACAGACATCTCCCAAAGCAGTTACTTTTTGAGTATTCCACCACAGTCTTAAAATGACAAATGTGTTCCCAACATACCATCCAAAGTTTATCCCTTTCCTGTTTGGAATGAATAGGCAGAAGTACTGTACTGTACTATACATGACATTAACAAGGTCAAAGTATTAAGCAAAGTATATCCAAATCTGTTTTGCAATATATTAACAGAGGGATAGAATCAAGATCATGTGAAGTATTAAAACCACTTTACAATGCCTTGAAGGCCACACTTGGAATACTGCATTCAGTTTGGGTCACCATGATGTAAAAAAGATGTTGAGACTATAGAAAGAATACAGAGAAGAGCAACAAAGATGATTAGGGGACTGGAGGCTAAAACATAAAAATGGTTTCTGAAATTGGGTATGTCTAGTTTAATGAAAAGAAGGACTAGGGATGACATGATAACAGTATTCCAGTATCTCAGGGGCTGCCACAAAGAAGAGGGAGTCAAGCTATTTTTCAAAGCACCTGAAGGCAGGACAAGAAGCAACGGGTGGAAACTAACCAAAGAGAGAAGCAACCTAGAATTAAGGAGAAACTTCCTGACAGTTAGAACAATTAACCAGTGGAACAACCTGCCTCCAGAAGCGGTGAATGCTCCAACACTGGAAGTTTTTAAGTAGAGACTAGACAGCCATTTGTCTGAAATGTATAGGGTTTCCTGTCTAGAGGACCTCCAAGGTCCCTTCCAACATTATTATTGTTGTTGTTGTTGTTGTTGTTGTTGTTGTTATAAGTCATGGTCTATAACATTGCAGTGAAAACTATTTGTTTGATATGTCACAGATTTGTTTAATGGCTATGTGTTTATGTTATGTTTGTGATTTCCACATTTGAATAATTGACCGTGTTATCAGTGATTTTATGTGAGATTCAGTTATTGTTAAGTCTATGTTTAGATGCAATTGCTATTGATTGAGAAAAAGTAATAGACTTGGAATAGATAATGGGTGCATTCCAAAATTTATTTCTAAATTGCCTACCTGTTTATCATTATTAATTTGCTAAACAAAGTAACAGAAATTGCTAAAAATATGTTGCTAATTTTATATTTTCAGAATTTTCAAACCACCCTTAAAGCACAACAGACATGAAAAAATATAGCCTGTATATCATTATATGTTTTATCTTAAATTACTTCCAAAATATTATTTTACATGGAAGATCAACAGAATAACACCAAGGCACAAAATTTTAACAATTGGAAAACTATTTCCTAAGTTTTAGAAAATACTTTACTTGTAGTCATTAAAATAGTTTGTTCCCCCAAAATTCTTGATTTAAATATAATTTTTCTGATTGTGTGGAATTTAGTTATTTTCACTACCTATTCTCACTACCACCAGCAGAAAGTTGTTGCCAACAGGCTATCATAATTCTTTCTCCACTGTGCAGTCCTTCTGGTTGCTGAAAAAAATTCCTTCTTTAAACTTTGAGAGATTTTTGATACTGAAGGCTACAGAGAAAGATGGAATAATGGAATATTGTGTCCCTTCCAATTATATAGCTGATGTCTTCCAACTAATAGAGTCCAGCCCCACATAAAGTCCAAAGATAAATGTGCCTTGAACAAGATGTATTAGATGATAGAGTAAGAGCTAAAGAAGGAAATATAATGGAATTAGGTTTCAGTTTTACTTGGGACTAAACAGATGTCCTGCTTTATCTTTGTCTCTCTTTTTTCAGCAATCAAGCACTGGGGAACTGAGGACCCTTAGGAAAGGGTTAACCCCATACCATTCTGAGTCTCAGCTGTCATCATTGTCGCAGTATCAGGATGCCATGCAAAATGTAAGATACACACAGAAGTCCATTCATTCTCATTATGTTGGTGGGAGTCTTAGTGAAATACCCAAGTGAAAAATGTTCATTTCTAGAAGATTGTCAAAGAAAGCAGGAGACAGAGATTTGTACATCTATTGCCATGTGCTAAGTAATATATATGGGAAATTAAGAAAGTATTTTTTTCCCTGTAAGGAGCAGATTGACTGGAATATAGCATCAGAGATTTCCCCAAATTTTCCATTCTTAAACCAACAGTTTAAGAATACCTTGATGAAACAAAAGCCTTTGATATAATAACTGGATATATATGGTACTAAGAAATAGTATTGTTTGTTTTTGTATTGGCTTCATCCATTGTGTTTTGTACATATTGTGTATTGTATACAATAGTTCATAAAACCATGCTTTACTTACCTTCTTGTTTTCTACTTAGACTGACAATTTTTTTCTTAGTTCTTAAACCATTTAATTTTTATAGAAAAACTTAAGGCATTTTTTTTGTTTTATCTATAAGTCAGTAATTACATGCATTCACATTTTAATCTTCTAAATATTTATCTAGGACTGTGGAATCTTGTATGATTAGAATTTAACTGTGGATAAGAGATTACACAGTAGAAACTAATTGTCAAGTTTCTTTAAAGGGTTAACTCTACTAGAATACTTTTATACAATATAAGAAGTAATAAATATTATATTGTAGTGCTTATTCTCAGTACCAGATCAGTCTGAAGGAATTAAAAGGAATGTAGTAAGGGAAACAGAGTAAATATATGCATTTACATATAGTCTAGCTTAATAGTCTAAAACAGAGGTCGTCAACCTTTTGGGTACCAGGGACTGGTTCCATGGAGAAAAGAATGTGTGGGTTTGTGTGCTGCTTGCATCCCGCGGATGGGGTTTTGCTTGTTTGTGCAGACCAGTTGCTGGCATGCCACGAGCCAGTACCGGTCCACGGACTGGAGGTTGGGGACCCCTGGTCTAAAAGGATACCCATATAACCTGGTTTACACATTTTGTTAAACCAAATGTTAACTATGGTTCATTGAACAAACCACAGTGCCTGCTTTACACATAATTCTAAGCCATAATATATGGGTTCACACATCACAAAATACCATAGAAAGCTATACAGTATATAGCACATGTACATTATTGTGTTAAAATATTACATATCATCTATAGTAACTTGAATAAATTGTAACTGGCAAAGTTTACATAACACATCTAACCATAAATGATGGATTATAGATTGTAGTATTGGGATCCACACAATATCTTCCTACATATCATGGTGTAACATAGTAACTAGGTATTTTGCTTAGTGTTACATGTATATGACACTGCAAAGTCTATTCTCTATTCACTGAACTAGGTCCAACATTAGAAGATTAAAATAACTTTGTTATGATTTCTCTGCAAAGTACTTATTACATTCATCTGTTACTAATCAAATATTCAGGTCCATGGATCCAGTTTGCTTTTTAATCCATTGAATGTCTTCATTCAAGACATGAGGGAAAGCTTAGTTTTCAGATTTCTAATACCTAACTTTCTAGCTTACTGATACTACACAGTTGTGTCAAGGATGAAAGAATCCTTATTTCTTCATTTGAGCCAGATGCTTATACTAATGGTAAAGAAAAGATTTTTAAAATATGCCAAATAATTGGGTTATACGCAGAAAGAAATATTTAGTACCAGGAGAAGTACAATGGATTGCAAAATACTAGATTTGAAAAGATCATCCTAAAACAAGCAAATTTTACATTTTGGTTACACTAGTCAGACATAATAATGAGTAATAATAATGCCAAAATTTTAATCTTACTTCAAATACAATGGGGTGCCCATTCTGTGAGTTTTCCTGGAGAGGCAAGTTTGTTTTGCAATTAATTATTTGCCTGCTTTCACACCTACAGCATTGAATGTCCTATGGTTTTGATCCTAGCAAATTTCTAGGGCAGCCTGCCTTCCCTGAGTCATAGAATGTGGCTTCTAACTGGGCATAAGTGCCAGAACTATTCTTCCAGAAGGGCTTCATAGGACAAAAGGAACAGTTAACACTCTCTCTCCCTCCCTCCCTCCCTCCCCCCCTCTCTCTCTGTATGTGTGTACATGCCCATTTTTAAATGAACCTTTTTATTTGTTCCTTGCTCCATAAAAAGGGTGTGAAAGTTCTTTTGGTTGGGTTGAGTAGATTTTATTAAATACTGCCATGATGCTAATGATATATTGTGCCTGACAAGACAAGATAGTGGCTGGGCTAGGCAGATAGGTAGATAGGTTTGGCTTCTGAACAACCCCAAATGTTAATTCATGTGCACCTGTTTAGTAGATGTATCTGAAGCAAACTGAATATTCAGTGAGAGAATAGCATCTGGAATAAAGCCTTTCTCAGTGTGAAGAGGAAAATAGCCTTTTCTTTCTTTCCATTTTCTTGTTAATGCTGTTGATTAAAAGACTATATATAGTTCCCTATATATGACTAAATATTTCAGAGGAACACAGTAAAATACAGAGATTTTTTTTATTATTCAGATAAAATCTGTTATTCAGTCCTGTTATTCTCTCCCTTCTCTGCAAGGATGTGTGTTCCCTTGTTTATGCCCTATGGCAGAGTATTCAGTATTTTCAATTTTGTAAATCCTCCTCCATGTGATCTAGGACAACACGGTTCTTTAAATATGAAAGACAGAGGCTGAAGCAGCCAGGCTAGTTTTGCTTTAAATTGGATGCCTGCAGTCTAAGTGAATAGTGGATGTCCAGTAATGAAATGTCACAGTTATTTTGAATCAAATGTTCTCTTAGTAAATAGGCAGCTTGCTGGCTAAATAGAATACTAACAAACCGATAATTTGGTACACTCTTAACTGAATAAGATTAGACTAGATTTAAAGCTTTAAAGTAGTAAAAATAGCATTTGTTACACTCACAGTATTCATTAATTTAAAACAAAAAATTACTGTGTTATAATTAGTGCTCTATTATCCTTCATCAGAAAGAGAAATTCTCTCTCTCTCTCTCTCTCTCTCTCTCTCTCTCTCTCTCTCTCTCTCTCTCTCTCTCTCTCTCTCTCCAGGTGTATGTGTGTGTGTGTCTCTGTGTGGGAGAAGAGATTGGGGGAGGGAGACTGAGGAAAAGAATTACCAGTGAATATTATGCCAACCCTATTATAGAACCTAGAATTAATTGAGTAATGTTATCTTCTTAAGAGTCTAAATTTTCATTCTAAACCCAGAACAGGTTTCCTAGACTTTGTGATCATACAGAAAAAATATCAAAACTATTTTTGCATCCCAGAATTTGTACAAGTCAAAGCACAAGGGTTTTCTTCTTGATTGCAATTGAACAGTGGTTCCCACCATCATTAATTTTGGGAAATTGTTTAAGTTTCTTTTCTTCTTATCCAACTTATTCTCTTGTATATAATCCACCACTTCTCCTTGTGGTAGACTAAGAAATTTAAGAATTTTAATCCATTTATTCCTTTTCTTTCTTTCACACACCAAACCAAGTGTGACCCAACTGATTATTGACCAACTAGTATTTTATTCATAATCGGCTAACTATATACTATATTTTATAATAGAGACTATTGAATTGGATACTATCAGAGAACAGTTTGATCCCTGAACAGGCAGCATTCAGATTTTAACATTCAACAATGGACCAAAGCATAAATTAACATCACCTAGCCAAGACACACTCCAGTTAATCAAAAACTGTATGTTGCTTTTATAAATTAAAGGGCAGAGTTTGATTCACTTCCATGTGACAGACTCTGGAAGAAATTAGCTGTTGCATTGATTGAATGCTGTCTCTTTTAATTATAACAACATTGCACCAGATGTTACTACACAACTGAAGACTAATCACAAAAGAAATTCAACTGAATACCAAAAAGACATTAAACAAGGAACTTTTCTTGCCCCATTTCTTTTCAATGTTTATATCAGTGATAACATTGAAATTTTTTGCTAATCCAGAATTCTCTCATCCACTGTCCCATCTCCATTTTTATTTATGGATGATTTAGGTATTCTATCTATAACTCATCTGAGTACACATAGATTATTTAACCCTCTATTATCTTACTTCTCTAGAGATTTTGTTTGTGCACATGTGTTCCTTTGAGTCAGTGTTGATCCTGGCAACTGCATAAACAAGTCCCTGCAGTTTTCTTGGCAAGATTTTGAAGATGGTTTGGTTTTACCTCCTTCCTAGAGCAGAGAGTGAGTGACTGATCCAAGGTCACTCAGCTTGCTTTTATGTTTAAACTGGCTCTAGAGAATACTAAAATAAAGGTTTTAGTATTCCCAAGAAAGTGCTTATGTTGCCAGTTATTTGGAAGGTCAGTGGGAGACTTTTTCTCTAGGTTAAAACCACTAAATACTTAAGGGATTACTTTCAAACTTCCATCCATTGCACCAGCAAATGAGTGATCTTAAAATAAGACTTTTAAAATATCCCTAGAGATTGGTAAATATACAGTCCAACCTTGTAGCATCTCTGTCCAAACAGCAGTTAAATTATTTAGTGCTAAAATTCTAGCTGTAATGCTATACGGTGTTTAATTGTACATCTTCAAAAACACTTCAAGTCATTCAGTCAAAACTCCTGAAAGCTATGCAGGTAGTCCTTGATTTACTCTGGTAATTGGGACATTTACTAACCAATGTGATTGTAAAGTGCAATGTTTGGCAGTCCCAATTGTCATTTTTAAGCAACAACTGCATGGGTTGTTAAGCAAGGATCTCATATGATCCAACTTCCTGCCATATTTCCATTGACTTTGCTTGTAGAAAGCCAGAAATTGTGATCATGTGATCATGGCTCACTGCAGCATTGTAATCATCAACCAGGTGCCAAGAACCAGATTACAGTCATTGGGAAGGGGGATGCTGCAGCACCTGGAATTCCCAGGACCAGTTGTAACTACCACTTATTCAACACCTGTTGTAAGTTTGAAAAGTTGCCGAAGGAGTGGTCATTAAACAAGGATC